TAGTAGGTACCTGGGGGTTAGGGCTACTGTAAACCCCTGCATTCTTGCTTCGGGCTTTGCGTTATTCAACTCTCTACACCCGAGCAGGGCCGAGTCAACCCGAAGTCTTCTGAGGCTGAAATGGTCAGGGTCTGTGGTTTCGGAGCTTTGGGTTGCAACACCATGAAGTCTCGCCACCTAAAGAACATCTTGTAGCGAACTCTTCGTGGTGGCATTTCTGGCTTTCTGGCTTTGGGCGCCTTTTGGTTAAAAAAATAGAAGTCTTCCCCTAAACCCTAAACCCTAAACCCTAAACCCTAAACCCTAAGCGGGTCTAGGCTCGAACACGCCTGGACTTCAAAGCCTTCGCCCAACATCCGGTCTGCCTCGTCAGGTCAGGAAGTTCAGTGCATTTTTCTGTACTCTGCATGCAGGCTCTGTTGAAAGTTCATACATGCAATACGGGCATGATTTATGCAGGTGTCATTTCCGACAATAGAGGAGCTGCATGGATCACATTGAGCTGCAGTTTGGTGAGCAATACAGACGCGGAGCAGGTGGAAAGACCCAAGCAGTCTTCCAGGCTTACTGGACTGAAGTACCAGGGACAGCAGCGCTCTGAGCTTGGAGGTGGTGGCACAGGTCTGGGATGGGTTGGTTGTGTCGGAGCTCAGTACCGGCCATGAGGGCATCGAACACCATGTAAGGTGAACAGAATCCATAAAGCACCGCTTCGGCTCATTGTGGGTGCAGCCCAAATTCCAAGCCTCATCCAGCACCACGTGCCGCACGTGTCTCAAGCAGCAGGGGGCGGGATCCTTCACATTTGGAGCTGCGGGCTCTGATCAGGCTCATGGGTAGGAAGACTATGAAGCTTCAGGCACTTCTAAGCACGAGGCTCGCCTACTTTCGCGGCTTGATGATGCGTACTTCGCTGCTGCACCACTGGCGGTTGTTATGTTTACGTCGGCTGCCCAAAGTTCCTGCATTCAAGCTGCAACGGCATGGTTTTCCACAAATCAAGTTTAGATTGTATCTCATTGTAAACTCATTGTAGCTCTATTTGACTGTATAGGTCTGCCAAGTACTGCGCTGGAACAATTCTGTTTGACTTAAACTTCCTTGGGGCCATGAACGTTTAAGTACGGTTTCGCGCTATCGGGTTCCTAGGGTCCCTGGCAAGAGCCATGTCTCCGGCTCGCCTCTTCCAAAAATTCGATGAGCCGTCCAGGTGTGGCGACCACCACGGGAGGCATCCTCGGGAAAAGCAAGGCATCCTAAACCCTAAACGCCCGAATACAGGGGCCGTTTATGATTCTCAATACTATTTTGGAGGTTCCTTGTTATAGTTATAGTATAAAATACCCACCAAAACCCTATTCTAACCCTAGTTACTAGTTATTAAGACCCCTACATTGAACCTTCACCAGCAATGCTTTCCACGCCCAACCTCCCAAATCCTGACGGAATACCAAGAAACACAGAGAAACTGCGAGCCCCCAGTGCTTGTTGTCAGGGACTTTCCCGGCCCTCGGATCCCCTGCGCTTTGCCAAGAAAAAACAGCTTTCTAGTCTTTAAGGATCTCTGCCCTAAGCCCTATACACCCCCACCTCTAGACTGCCCCACAATTTCGGGATTTTTACGGGGGAGGATGAGTTTCCGGAGAGGCCTTCGGATTTCGGCGTCGTTTTGCAGCTCTGCTGAGTAGTCTCAAGACTGCGTGATATTGAATGAAAGTTCCTCAGCTGTACCACCCCGAGACCCTGGACCCTAAACCCCAAAACCCTGAAGCCCTGGACGCTTGAACTCCAACAACCCAGACCCCCTAAAGATCGAGGCTGTTTCTTCCTCTCTGGTAGGACCCCTTCGTGGCTGAATCCGTTAGGAATGGCTAGAGTCCCCTCGGAATTTCTAGATATCTGTGGGGGCTCAGGGATCTTTAGTCCTAAGCCCCAGTAGTATTGATTCCCCTTCAGACCCGGTTCAGAGCTTAAGGCTTAGGGTGTCAAAGGGTTTAGGGAGTAATCCAAAACACCCTGAACCCTAAACACCACCCCTGAACCCCAAACTAAACCCTAACCCAAAACCCCAAACTTATAAACCCCAAACTAAACCCTAAACCCAAAGCCCTAAACTTATAAACCCCAAGTTAGAAGCCCCAAACCCAAAACTGATGAACCCCAAGTTACCCTGAGAAGCCTAAGCCTGTAAGCCCTAAGGCAAACCCTAAACCCTAAACCCTAAACCGTTAAAGCCGAAAGCCCCAAACCCCTAAACCCCTAAACCGCTAAACCCTAAACCCTAAACCCTAAACCCCTAAACCCCTAAACCCCCAAAAACCCTAAAGCCGTCGAGGTTTGACCCCTAAACCCTTAAAGGAACCCTTAT